AGAAGGAGCGTCCCGCTGGGGTGCGCCTGCGCAAGGCCTTGGCCTCGTCGTCCTCCTCGTAGTCGTCGGAACTGTCCTCCGGCTGGCTCTCGTAGTTGAAGTCCGTGTCCAGTTCCCGCGGCTCCTCGTCCTCCACGTCCTCCACCATCACCACCTCGTCCTCATCCAAGCTCTTCACCTCCTCGTCCTCATCCAAGCTCTTCACCTCCTCGTCTTCATCCAAGCTTTTCACCTCCTCCTCCTCCTTTTTTGCCTCCTCCTCCTCCTCCTTCTCCTCCTCCTCCTCCTCGAGCTCGCCGGGCCAAGGTAGGTCCTCCGGCTCCATCTTGGCGTCTCGCAGTCGGAGGCTGAGGAGGAGGGGGAGAGGGGAGAGGGGAGGGAGGGGAGGGGAAGAGAGCCGACTGGTGGTTGCGGCCTCACGCAGGCGCAAAGACCGCCGCCGCCTCCCGCCCCCCGCGGCGCCGCGCGGACGGGGGGGGCTTGGGAGTGAGCGCGCGTGTTGCTAAGGACGCGCCGGGGGGGCCGGCGGGAAGGCCCGGGGAGGGGGCGGAGGGAGCGGCAGGTGACGCCACGCCCTGTAAGCTCACAATCAACCCCGACCCGGCGCCTCTCACCGGAGGGGAGAGTGCGGTCCTCGGCGGGGCCGGGCCAGAACTGAATGTTGACCCTGCACCCGGGGGAGATCAGACCCGAGGGCAACACATGAGAGTCAAACTTGCACATTAGTAGTTTTCACAGGCTGCGTGCCTAAGAGGTGACAGGCTGTACGATGGGCACTTGACACTAACAAGGGCGGTAGAGGCGTTAACTAAGGAGTGGGAGCTAGAATCAGAAAGATGGGAGTGTGAGTCCTGACATCGCCACTTAAAAGTGGTGTGACTGAGCCTCTGTCAAATGAGGATAATGGGCCCTTGAATAGGATGGTCGTGATAATCAAAGGAAGTAAGGGCTTAGTGCAGTGGTTCTCAACCTTGGCGGTACATTAGAATCACCTGGGAATCTTTTTAAAATCCTGATTTCTGGGCCTCATCCTCTGGAAATTCTGTTTCTTTGTTACTAATGTTGTGGCCCCACCCCATAACAAAGAAACAGAATTTCCGGAGGATGAGGCCCTGAAATCAGGTTTTTAAAAAGATTCCCAGGTTTTTCTAATGTGCAGCCAAGATTGAGAACCACTGGCTTAGTGGTAGGTATTATTTGTTAACCATTATACTAGTACAGTAACTCAAGTAACTCATTAAATGCTTGCAGTTCTATGAGACAAGTCTTTTCATTTTATATTTGAAGAATCTAAGGCCCAAAGCCTCTTACCTAGTAAATGGCTGGCTGAGTCAATACCATCTCTGTAAGTCCAATAATTTCCCAGACCTATCAGCTAATAAAGGATAAAGGAGCAAATATTTATTCTGATAATACATGTCTTAGTATAGTCAATGAATTTGAAATGCTTTAGAAATAACGATTTTCTGAGCACTATAGGAACCCCTATAAAATGAATGGCAAATTAAAGAATCTTTGGGTGCTTTGCCATTACTAAGGAGATGGTCATAGTCAAAGTAGACTCCAGCCAATATTCTTCATGGTATTACCCACAATAGCAGAGATAAATTGGCAATGGTACTGAACCAACATTGGTGGAGTAATTTTTAGGGGTATTGCCAAGGATGTATGTCCTATCCGCCAATGACTAGATCCTGGCAAAATTATAAAGGTAGATTGTGGACTGGAGCCCAAAGTGTCAGGGCTCTTTTGAACACCTTTCAATGGAATATGAGTATAGTTGATCCTTGAACAACAAGGGTTTGAACTGTGCAGGCCCACTTATATGCTGATTTTTTTCAATAAATACTATAAATGTATTTTCTCATAATTTTAACAGTTTCTTTTATGTAGCTTACTTTAGTGTAAGTATACAGCATATAATACATATAACATACAAAATATGTGTTAATCCTGCTTATATTATTGGTAAGGCTCTGGTCAATAGTCGGCTATTAGCAGTTAAGTTTTGGGGAAGTTAAAAGTTATGCAGGGAACCCCGCCAGTGTTGCTCAGTGTTTGAACATCAACCTATGACCCAGGAGGTCATGGTTCGATTCTGGTTAGGGCCGATGCCAGGGTTGCGGGCTCCATCCCCAGTGTGGGGCTTGCAGGAGGCAGCCGATCAATGATTCTCTCTCATTATTGATGTTTCTCTCTCTCTCTCTCAAATCAATAAAAAACATTAAATATATATATTCTAAATTATACAGGGATTTTCAACTGTGCGGGGTGAGTAGGGAGGCCTTCTGCTAGGGAGGCCTTCTGCTCTTTGCCTTATGGTTAAACTTCAAAAACCCAATTAAGGTTTCCTTCCTTTATAATAGACAGCTTTTTGCTCTCTCACCGTATGTCTAATGTGATACAGGCCTGAGAGACGGTTTAGACTGGACCTGCCCACTAATGGGGCAGAGAAGATTGACCCAAAAGAAGGGAAGACATTGAATCTAGAAAACAAAACCAAAAGAGAACTGATAAAATGAGAGAGGATGATGGATGATTCAGGTGAAGGGATTGCCCTCAGAAAGGAGAAACGGGGATTTCTCATGGAGCAGAAGAAAGATAGGTACCAATAAAGATCCTTTATTCAGGTGAGTGGGTTAAATTGATTGAATTAACAAGTTGATTCAATTCAGGTTTCCTGGTTTTCATTTATGTTAATCAAAGTGTGGTCCACAGACTACCTTTATCAGAATAACCTGAGGTATATGTTTTATGAAGAATCCCAGCTCCCATTGCCCATCGAATAAGATTTAAGAAGTCTGGTTTGGCACCCAGAATCTGATTTTTAAGACCATACCACCCCCAAGTAATGTTGATGCACAATAATGATTGAGAACCACTCCTTTCTTTTCCCTGTCAAATATCAAGGACAATACAGTTCTTCCCCACCTGCTGCAGAAAATCATCCTCCCTGCCACCCAGCAGCCAGGGCATGGACATGTGACCTAGGTTCACACATTTGGATGCTCCTATCTGTGACTTTTACTCTTTTTGTTGTTGTTGTTCATCCTCACCTGAGGATATTTTTCTATTGATTTTTAAAAGAGAGTGGAAGGGAGGAGGAGAGACAGAGAGAGAGAAACATCAATGTGAGAGAGACACATCGATTGGTTAGGGCCAGGGATTGAGCCTGCAACCGAGGTACATGCCCTTGACTGGAATCAAATCCAGGATCCTTCAGTCCATGGGTTGAAACTCTAACCACTGAGCAAAACTGGCCAGGGCTGTGACTTTACTCTTAAGGTTTAAAGCAGGAACAGTTCAGAACTTTGTTACTCGAAGCATATTCTGGGTAGCATCACCCCAGAGCTTATTAGAAATGCAGAATCTTAGGCCCCACTCAGACCTAACTAATCTGCATTTTTAATTGATTTTTAGAGAGAGGAAGGAGAAAGAAACATCAATGTGAGAGAGAAACATCAATTGATTGCCCAAGCAGGGATCAAACTCAAAACCTGGGTATGTTCACTGACTGGGAATCGACCCAGCACCTTTTGGTGTACAGGATGGTGCTCCAACCAATGGAGCCATGCCAGTCAGGGCCTGCAGTTTAACAAAATCCCAGGTGTTTCATAGGCACATTAAAGTACTGGCTTAGAACACATTCATAGTGGTGGAGTTGAGAGTTCAGCAGTAGCAATGGCCAATGGAACAAGCAGATATAGTCTCACCGACTGATTCTTTTTGTTGTCATGTTTTTTAGAGAGAGAGAAGAAATAGAGAGAAATATTGATTTGTTGTTCCACTTATTTATGCACTCATTGGTTGATTCTAGTATGTGCCCTGACCAGGGATCAAACCCCCAACTTTAGCATATTGTGATGATGCTCTAACCAACTGAGTTACCTGGCCAGGTCACCAACTGGTTTTTATAGCATGACCTTAGTCATGGGTCCTGCTTTCCAGTCTTCCTTGGTTCTTGCCTTTCTTGGTCAGCTAGTCACACTTAATGCTGTGTAATAAGCAATCACAAAATCTCAGTGACCTGAAATAAAAAGCACTACTTCTTGCCTTTGCACCGGCTGGTTGTCTGGGGATAGCTGTTTCAGGCTACAGTGTATGAGTTGGCTGTGGTGCCTTGACTCCACCCTGTCTTTCATTATTTTGGGACCAGGTTACCTTAAGAATGCTTCTTCCAGCCCTAACCGGTTTGGCTCAGTGGATAGAGTGTCGGCCTTTGGACTGAAGGGTCCCAGATTCGCTTCCGGTCAAGGACATGTACCTTGGTTGTGGGTACATCCCCAGTGTGGGGGGCGGGGGGAGTGCAGGAGGCAGCTGATCGATGTTTCTCTCTATCCCTCTCCCTTCCTTTCTGTAAAAAAATCAATAAAATATATTTAAGAAGCTCGATGAGTAGAAACTTCCTCCCACAATTCATTGGCCAAAGCAAATCACATGGGCCACTCAGCCATTAAATAAAAAAATGAAACTTTACCATTTGCAATAGCATGGATAAACCTAGAGGGTATTATGCTAGATGAATAAGTTAGCCAGATAAAGATAAATACCATATGTTTCACTTATATGTGGAATCTAAAGAATAAAATAAATGAACAAATAAAATTGAAACAGGCTCAGATACAGGAAGTGTCTGATAGTTGAGGGGAGGAGGATTCAGGGACTAGGTGAAACAAGTGAAGCAATTAAGATGTACAAATTAGTAGTTACAATTTGGTCTTGCGGATATAAAATACAGCACAGGGAATACAGTCAATAATACTGTAATAACTATGTTTGGTGCCAGGTGGGTACTGGAAATACCGGGGTGAACACTTTGTAAAGTAGATAGCTGTCTAACCACTGTGTTGTACACCTGAAACTAATACAAAATAATATTGAATGTAAACTATCATTGAAAAAAAAAGACTAAAAAGTGATATAATCCTTTTCTGATTGAGAAGGTAAAAAAGAAATCAGATGAGCCAGTGTAACATTTCCCCCATGAAGGTTGATAGAGGAGAGGGAATAAATGTACTGAATGAGCCAAGCCGGCATGGCTCAGTGGTGGCATGTCTACCTATGAACCAGAAGGTCACGGTTTAATTCCCTGTCAGGGCACATGCCTAGGTTACGGGCTTGATCCCCAGTGTGGGGTGTGCAGGAGGCAGCCAATCAATGACTCTTTTTCATCATTGGTGTTTCTAACTCTCTCCCCCTCCCTCTCCCTTCCTCTCTGAAATCAATAAAATATATTTTTTTAAAAATTCACTGAATGATAAGCGTAACATAAGATACCACCCCTTTTCCAAGCCTGGTATCCAGCTTTCCCACTGGTTCTAGGAGCCCTACAATATCTCTCTAGTTACTAGTACAATATTGCTGAAGCTAGCAAGAGTCAGTTTCTGTTGACTGAAAATCCCTCAC